AAAGACGACATACAATAATTTCATAATAAATATATTTCTCAGTATTTATGGAACACTAAATTTAAGTATGCCACGGTGATTTCATGAGAAATGCAAGAACAGAGAAGAAACTGAGTACAGTAAAGCTGACTGTACAAGCTATGCCCACAATTTCACAAGAAGTACACTGTGCTGAACCTACCTACAATGCCAGTAAACAGAAATTGGTAGAAAACATAATGTAAATGGAGAAAACTTACTATAGTTTGTGCAATCAGCTTTTCTTTCACTATACCCAGTTTTCTCCATTTACATTGTTTTCTATCAATTCGTTTACTGTCATTGTAGATAGGTTCAGCAGTGTACTTTTTGTGAAATTGTGGGCAGTTTGTATAGTCAGCTTTTCTTTCACTATGTCTGTAACTGTACAAGTACATTGTGATAATGAACCTATTTGTATAGAAACCAAACAGAAACTGTGAGAAAAGAATAGAAGAAACTGACTCTAGTCAAAGTACAAACATAACTGTACAAGCTATGCCCAGAACTGCATAAAAAAAATAAACTAGGAGCGAAAGAAAAAAACATTTTTTTTAATCATTCAGCAATTGAACGGGTACCACAATGGTGAGGAAAGCGTAAGTTTTTTTATGTTGCACCAACAACATAGATGTGTCTCGTATCTGAAATAATGGGACTGAGGCCAGAGGCAATGCTAACTGATTTCTGTATTAATAAACTTAAATGGAGACATTGTGGATAGAATACATCTAAAGAAATGAACTACTTTTACACAATCAAGTGGATTTTTTTTTACTTCACTAAGGAAAAAGGAAAACTAATCAAGACTGAAAGATGGAGCCTGGGCCAGGTAGGACTGAGACACCCACTCTGGGCCAAAGTCCCTTTGAGAGCTGGATCCGGCCTGAGCGCTGTATTATGTCCATCCCTGATCTAGTGCCATCCTCTTTGGAACCACCCTCCAGGTAGTTAAAGGCTCTTATCAGATTCCCCCTCAGTCTTCCCTTCTCCAGACTAAATAAGCCCAGCTCCCTCAGACTCTGCTCAGAAGTCACGTGCTCCAGTGCCTTCACCATTTTCATTGCCCTGTGCTGGACTCTCCAATTTGTCCACATTTTTTGGATTGAGAGGCCCAAAAATGGACTGCAGATGTGGCCTGACCAGGGCAGAAGAGAGGGGAATAATTACTTCCCTTGATTTGCTGGCAACGCTCCTACTAATGCAGTCCAGTATGCCATTAACTTTCTTGGCAACAAGAGCACACTGTTGACTCATGTCCATCTTACTGTCCACTGTAACCTCCAGGTCCTTTTCTGCAGAGCTGCTGCCCAGCCAGTCAGCCCCCAGCCCGTACCGATGCATAGGATTGTTCTTTCTTAAGTGCAGGACTTTGCACTTGTCCTTGTTGAACATTATGAAAGATTAAATGAAATTCTCTCCCTTTATCTTCATCTAACGGAAGTCTAAATCAAGAATTATTTGTATTGGAAGGTCTTGTCAAGTGAAGTGACAAGAAAAAATTATTTACTTCAGCTGCAGTCCCATAGACATAAGACTCCCTAATGACTACATCAAATTTGATGCTTGTGGCCTATAGAAAACAAGCCAATTAAAATCAGTAGAGAATAGAATGGAAGAGATCTAATTTACAAAAGGTGAAAAGCAGAGAAGGTCAGATGAGACCATTAAACACATATATATTACAGACAATTATGTTTCACTAAGATACCCTATATTAAATTTTAAAAATGTTAAATAAAAGTATTTCAGATCTCAAAAGACTAAACTGCTAGTTACAAGTAAGAGAGACTGGAGCCCAAGGCCATTAAAATGGCCTTCTCTGACATAAGACAAAACACGCAGATAATGATTTATATATACCAGCTATCCCTCGATATGAGGATGATGTCTGCCAGGGGGAGGGGGGGATTATTGGTGAGTTTTAAGGTGGCTGAGGAGTCAAATCCGTGCTCTTCAAGTTTTTCCATAGATATGACAACTGGTACGTTGGAGGGGGACAACTGTTGGCCAGGATGTTGCACACTTTCCTTCCTCCTCTGCTGTTTCTCAGCTTCCTGAGCAAGACGGTTCTCTTCGAAGTGGGTTGTAGCTTGATGTATGGTGCAGCACCATTGAGATCTGATACCAGCCAGCCAACCCAATTTGTAGGGTTGATACCACCTTTCTTAAGGTATGCTTTCAGGGTGTCCTTGTAGCGCTTCCTCTGTAGGCTCCATTACCATGACTAAGGGCATTTATACCCATACTCGAGGAGGCGTTGGGGGCACTTTAATTAGCACAGCTCCAAGAACTGCGCTAATTAAAAGCACCTGACGCATCACATATATCAGCATCCCTGCACTGAAAAATGGCAGCAGGGTGCTTTGAACTAAAGCTCATTGAACGAGCTTTAGTTTAAAGCACTCCACAGCCATTTTGCAGCACAGGGACACTGATACACATGATGCTGGAGTGCGTCAATTTCCACGCCCCAGCAGCCTCAATTAAATCCGGCCTGCTCCAATGTGCTGAAATTACAGCATGTCGGAGCAGGCTCCCTACATGTGTATAGGAGCCCTATACTGAGAGAAGAGGACTTGCTTCAGGAGATGAGTGTCAGCCATCTGCACACAGTGGCGTTGATGTTTCATGATCTTTGCCTCAATGCTGGTTATGTTAGCTGCAGAGAGGATGTTAGCATTGGGGCAGTGGTCTTCCCATCTAATGCAGAGGATCTTCCTGAGGCAATGCTGATGGAACCATTTCAGGCACTTAAGATGGCTTCAATACATCACCCACACCTCACACTGGTTTAGGAGTATTGGGCAAACACTACATTGTAGACCAGAATCTTCATTTCTATCTGCAAATCTCAGTCAGCAAAGATGCAATGAAGCAGCTTTCCAAAGGATATGTTTGCACAGCAAGTCCTACGTTCATTTTCTACATCAAGATTGATTAACTGGAAGAGGTGACTGTCAAGGTATGGAAAATGCTTGATGTTTTCCAGGGGTTAAGGGGGGGGGG